TAGGGGGCGTGCAGGAGGCAGCCGATCCATGATTCTCTCTCATCATTGATGTTTCTCTCTCTCTCTCTCTCTCTCTCTCTCTCTCTCTCTCTCTCCCTCCCTCCCTCCCTCCCTCCCTCCCCTTTCCTCTCTGAAGTCAATAAAAAGTATATTTAAAAAAATATATTTGTTGAACCAGTTGATGAATGAGCCACCTAAGATCATCGGTTCACCTGTGGGTATTGGACTGCTCATGTCCCTGGCACAGAATTTCACAGAAAGGAAATATGTGTTCCACCTTCCAGTAGGAAAGAAAAAAGCGTTCTCCCCAGAAATAACTTGGTAATTTGTCTTGTAATTGCCCCCTTCCATGCAGGGGAACACATGTTTGTTATAATTAACAAGCACTTATTTCAGAGGATGTCATCTGATCCTCGCGTAGAAGAACGTTTCCCCCTCCAGAGGCGGCTACAACTACCAGGGCAGAGGGGCGGTCTCTCCCGCGGGCAAATAGGCCTGTCATTTGTCATTTATCTCGGCTCTCGGCGTCTGTGAGGATGGGGAAAAACACACACAAAAAAAACTCTTTTTTCCGTTTGAGTTCAGCCTTAAAGGAGCACCTGTCAGCATATAGGCATAGCTTCCAGCTTCCTGGAGAAATCTGTTGCTAAGAAACAGTCTTGATTTGTTTGCACACTTTTGCTGTGAATGGTAGGTGTTCAATTCATGGAGAGGAACTTAGGGGTAAGAGAGGAAGGTTGGTGGAGAATTATTCCTCAAACAATTTGTGTGTGTGTGTGTGTGTGGTGTGTGGTGTGTTTTTTTTTTATTTCATTGATTTCAGAGGGAGGGAGAGAAACATCAAGGACGAGAGAGAATCATGGATCAGCTGCCTCCTGTGTGCCCCCTACTGGGGATGGAGCCTGCAACCCAGGCATGTGCCCTGACCAGGAATCCAACCATGACCTCCTGGTTCATAGGTCGACATTCAACCACTGCGCCACTCCGGCTGGGCTCTCATAATTTTTAAAAATATATATATTTTATTGATTTTTCACAGAGAGGAAGGGAGAGGGATAGAGAGTTAGAAACATCGATGAGAGGGAAATATCGATCAGCTGCCTCCTGCACACCCCCCACTGGGGATGTGCCCGAAACCAAGTACATGCCCTTGACCGGAATCAAACCCGGGACCCTTGAGTCCGCAGGCCGATGCTCTATCCACTGAGCCAAACCGGTCAGGGCTCTCATCATTTTTTTTAAAAAGCTTTTGTTCCTATTCCCTCTTCTCGTTTTAACCCTGTGTCCCCTCCCACCACAGTGTATTCCGTCATACCCTCTTCAATGCTAAACCCCTTCCAATCTAACTGTTCCCCCAAGGACTTGACCAGTACAACTCCTACGGACGTCGCCGGTGATGTTAATGTGCCTGGTTCTGCTACCTAAACAGTATCGACCAGAGAAAAGTTGACACGTTAAACGTTTAAGACAACAGTAGACATGCCCTGGGTTTACTGCTTCCTTCGCTTGGCCGTTGTAGGTCTTCTGTGACTTCCATGGCCACTCCCAAAAGAAGAACGTGTTTGTCTACGGCTGCAGCATCAAGGAGACCCTGTGGCAGGCAGAGTCTGCCATGGGCACACCCGCTGTCTCAGAAGATGTCAGCTACAGGGTAGGTTTGAAGTGGCCTGTCTTTCCTTTTTTTTTTTTTTTTTTAAATATATTTTTATTGATTTTTTACAGAGAGGAAGAGAGAGGGATAGAGAAGCTAGAAACATCGATTAGAGAGAATCATAGATCCGTTGCCTCTTGCACGCCCCCCACTGGGGATCGAGCCCGCAACCCCGGCATGTGCCCTTGACCGGAATCGAACCCGGGACTCTTCCGTCTGCAGGCCGATGCTCTATCCACTGAGCCAAACCGGCTAGAGCTGAAGTGGCCTATCTTGATAGAAAGAAGAAAAAGAAAGCTCAAACAAAATCTATACAACAAAAATGTACGAACAGTAGAGAATCAATGCACCCATGTTTGGCTTCTGGAAATAGTTAGCAGATGTGACCACCCTTTAGTTAGATGAAGAAGAGAAAGAAGAACTCTAAGCCTCCATCGCCTCATCTTTAAAATGAATTTAAAAATGGTGTCCAGCCCTGGCTGGTGTGGCTCCGTAGATAGAGCATCAGCCTGCGGACTGAAGGGTCCCAGGTTCAATTCCGGTCAAGGGCACATGCCCAGCTTGCGGGCCCCCAGCAGGGGGTGTGCAGGAGGCAGCCGATCCATGATTCTCTCTCATCACGGATGTTTCTCTCTCTCTCTCTCCCTCTCCCTTGCTCTCTGACATCAATTAAAAAAAAATAATAATGTCCATTTCTCAGGGTTGATACAGAATTCGTAGCAGCATACATTCTGTGTTTGGCATATTGAGATGCGAAAAAGATGTTGAGACATCAGGTTTTACGATGCCTACCCCCAATCACCTGCAGCTCATCGCCATTTATTTATTATTATTAATATATATATATTTTTTACTGTAGACTCTTCCCAGAATCCTGGACCAGCTCGCCCCCGCCTTCACCATGAGCAGCTGCAGTTTCCTGGTGGAGAAATCTCGCGCCTCCACCGCCCGGGTGGTGGTGTGGAGAGAGATGGGGGTGGCCAGGAGCTACACCATGGAGAGTAGCTACTGCGGCTGCAACCAGGGCCCCTACCAGGTAGGTGAGGCCGCGGGGTGCCCATGCTTTCTGCCCCGCAGCGGAGCACTCTAACGGGGAGCTGCGGGGGCGGGGTGGGGGGGGGGAAGGCTCTCTGGCCCGCTCCCTGATTTTGCAGAACTAGCTCAGTGACTGCTCTCATGGGCAGCGCAGCCTGCATCGATCCTGGAAGCTGTCTGTGCCGATCTCGCTTGTCAGTCCTCTGCCCTGGCCAGCCAGCGGCAGGGAGCCCCCCCGCACACGTACCCCCAGCTCTAATGGAGCCGCCGCCCCGTCCTGCTACGGGCGTGGGAACATTTTACAACGAGTAGAGTAGACTGACACGCGCCCTGTGCATCCTCAAGGCGAGGGCGTAGGTCCGAGCGTAGACGTTGCCGATGAAAATACTCGCTGTGTTTCTCTATCATCCGTGTTTATCTCCGTCAGCGGCTCCGTCTGTCATCTCGCCGGCACCAGGGCACCCGGGGGTGCGGGCACGGCCGTTCGGCTCCCCGAGGCGAGTGGCCGTGGGACTCAGGCGCTAGTGTGGAGGGAAAGGGCTGGTGTCCATCACTCCTCCCTGCAGCTCTATCAGCTGCATGAGCAGCTGGAGACGGGCTGTTCCGCCGCCCTCCCCACCGCCCCACGAGAGGAGCATAAATAAGGGAACGTCCTGGCAGGATAGACCTTTCTGGAACGTGCTGGGCAAACGGACAGAGGGCTCCTTGCTGACTTCCATTCAACCCCGAGAAGACCTGGGAGTCGCCAGTGTCAAAGCTCACGGCGTCGGCTCCCACTCCCTTCCTGGGACAGCCTGGAGACGCTTGGCACCGACACACGCCTGTGCTTGTAGAAGTCTGTGAGCTCTCCGGGGGGGCCCGGGAGTGACAGGTGATGAACATGATCTCACTCTGCACCTGCCAACGAGCGTGTTGGACACGGAGCCACCGATCTGCCCGCCTGGAGCCGTTCCTTCGGTGCCACAGCCGGTGAGTCTGACTGGTGGCTCGAAAGATGTATCTGTTTGATGAATGAATTATCCGGCTGAAGTGGTCCACGGAATGAGTCCGTCCTTACCCACAGCCAGGGGGATGCAGGAGAAGAAGGAGGAGGTCGTTGGAGGGGCGTGGGACTGGGTGTCAAAACACCTCACCCTTCAGCGTCCTGGCGGGGCCTCAAGCGGCTTGCCTCTGTGCCTCCAGCTGGTTCCCATGTCAAAGGCAGATCTGAGTGTCCTTGGAGAGCATGTGGTCAGGGATCTGTTCACGCTCTTGGTATTTAACACCCACAGGATTGGGGGGAAAGCAGCCTGGAATATTGCGTCTCTAAGACGTTCAGGACATAGACTTGCGTCTCTCTCGCCGGCTGCCTCTCGATGGAAAGGGGCCAGTTACTTGTTTAAAAGACAACGCCACGCCCGGCGTGGTTCAGTGGTTGAGCATCGATCCGTGAACCGGGAGGTCACGGTTCGATTTCCTGGTCGGGGCACATGCCCAGTGAGGGCGTGCAGGAGGCAGCTGACCCATGATTCCCTCTCATCATTTTTAAAAAAATATATTTTATTGATGTTTTTACAGAGAGGAAGGGAGAGGGATAAAGAGTTAGAAACATCGATCAGCTGCCTCCTGCACACCCCCTACTGGGGATGTGCCCGCAACCAAGGTACGTGCCCTTGACCAGAATCGAACCTGGGACCCTTCAGTCTGCAGGCCAGTGCTCTACCCACTGAGCCAAACCGGTCAGGGCTCTCTCTCATCACTGATGTTTCTCTCTCTCCCTCCCTCTCCCTTTCTCTCTGACATCAGTAAGACTCTATTTTTTTAAAATATATTTTATTGATTTTTTACAGAGAGGAAGGGAGAGGGATAGAGAGTTAGAAACATCGATGAGAGAGAAACATCGATCAGCTGCCTCCTGCACACTCCCCACTGGGGATGTGCCCGCACCCAAGGTACATGCCCTTGACCGGAATCAAACCTGGGACCCTTCAGTCTGCAGGCCGACGCGCTATCCACTGAGCCAAACCGGCCAGGGCTTGTTCTCTCTCTTTGAAATGGAGTGGACCCACACCACAGGCCCCAGTCCCTTCCTTGACAGTGAGGAGTGGGCGCTGGTTCTGTTCCTCCAGCCAATGTTTTTTTGTAAAAATATATTTTTATTGATTTCAAAGAGGAAGGGAGAGAGAGATAGAAACATCGATGAGAATCATGGATGGGCTGCCTCCTGCACGCCCCCTACTGGGGATCGAGCCCACAACCCGGGCATGTGCCCTGACCGGGAATCGAACCAGTGACCTTCTGGTCCATAAGTTGGTTGACGCTCAACCCCTGAGCCATGCCGGCCGGGCTCCAGTCGGTGTGTTAACATTCTCTGCCATGGCTGCACTCCAATGGAGCAGCCTCCCAGGTTTCTATTTTTAAAACGAAGCAGCAATTCCCTCTCTTATGTCCGTGCTCCCTGAATGTAAATGAGAAGAGACTCTTCTCAGAAGACTTTGAACCCTGTGGTTAGGAGGCGGCATTGGATATTTTCATATTAAATTTGTAATCGTGTTATTAATTAGATAACCTGTTGATTAGGCGGCTCTCCTTTGTTTGAAGCTGAAGTTTGGGATGGGGGCATGCAGGAGGCAGCCCATGAATGATTCTCTCTTATCATTGATGTTTCTCTCTCTCTCTTCCTCTCTGAAATCAATAAACATATATTAACTTTTTTTAAAAAGCAACATGGGAAAAAATGTAAGGGGCATTCCAAATGCTACACAACCGGTGTGTGGTGGGATTAGATTTTAAGCCGTGTTCTAATTAGAATCCGGGCACTGAATCCGTGCTCCTTAATTACGCCATGTGGGCTCCTGTTGATGGAATTTTCAGGTGTCGCGCAGCCGGGACAAGCAGTGATTATGTTACATGGCCAATTTGTGTCTAAAAAAGATCTTAGCAAAATGTAATCCCGGGCAAAATATCAAAAGAGGAATTTAATGCGAATAATTGGCGAGCGCTGCTTGCGTTTGGTTGAGAGAAAAAAGAGATCGCTCAAGTACAAGGTGTATGAAGAAATATTTAGGGCTCTTACTTACATACTGGCACAGCCATCGTCCACTGAGCCACACCGGCTGGGCATTTAAAACTCTGGATGGACCGTAATAAACCAATGTTATTACCAGTGTGACCAACCAACAATGAATAGTTTCTGTAAGCCCAGCCAGTGCGGTTGAGCATCAACCCATGAACCGGGAGGTCATGGTTTGATTCCCAGTTGGGGCACATGCCCAGGTTATGAGCTTCATCCCCAATAGAAGGCATGCAGGAGGCAGCAGATCCATGATTCTCTCTTGCATCGATATTTCTCTTTCTCCCTCTCTTGCTTCCTCTCTCTGAAATCAATAAAATCTTTAAAAAATATATTTACACTAATAAAAGAGAAAGATGCAAATTGACCATACCTTCGCGCCACCCGCCACCCAATCAGGAGTGAGTATGCAAATTAATCCAACAAAGATGGTGGGTTAATTTGCATACACAGGCGCCGAGCGGCCAGGGGCAGGGCTGGACGCTTGTGTTGTTGCCATGGCGATGACGCAGGTGTTCCATACCCTCTCCGCCTCCTCTCCCCCAGCCACTCTGGGCCTCTGGGCAGCGTGGGAAGGCAGAAAAGTGGCTCCAGCAGGAGCCAAGGCGGTGCTGGCAGCCAGGGGAAGGAAGGCCCATTCTTGCACGAATCTTCATGCAGCGGGCCTCTAGTATTTTCTATAAGATGTTTGGATGCAGGAACCCCGATTGCCAAGAATACAAATCCCAGAGGCTTGGGGTCAACCCCGTAGGTCTCAGTAGCCTTAACGGATAGTACAGCCTCTTCTACTTGGCCTGTTTGAACCAAGTACAAAACAGAGTTAGCAACGACCCAGGTGCCATAGTGACTCGCTCACGAGAACTGGAGAGCAGCGTGAGCATATGTCACTATTCCCATCCACGAGAGGGGTGACGTATATTCCCTCTGGGGCACAGGTCATATCCTTAGCGACCTTTGCCCGAGCTAGGGATGCGTCTTTTGCGGTGTTTATTTCTACGGGCATGCTCCCCGCTCTTTGGAACACTGCCCTGACCGTCTCATAAAAGAGGGGCCGATGTGAAACACAGCAGCCTCTCCCCAGGAATACGATTGTGAGATGACTTATGGAGACCCACTCGTCATATCCTATGTAATAAAAGCCTAATATGCTAAGTGTCTGGTCATCCGTTCAACCAATCAAAGCATAATATGCTAATGATATGCTTAGGCTGCTCAACTGCTGGCTATGACATGCACTGACCACCTGGGGGGCAGACAGTCGACCAGTCGACCAGTCGCTATGATGTGCACTGATCACCAGGGGGCAGATGCTCCGACTGGTAGGTTAGCTTCCTGCTGGGGTCCAGCCGATCAGGACTGAGGGAGACGGGCCGGACATGCCCTGGAGCCCTCCCACAGTCCCTCCCTGGCTGGCCAACCTCCCTGGCCCCGATTGTGCACCCGTGGGGTCCCTCGGCCTGACCTGCCCCCTCTCGCAATCCGGGACCCCTCAGGGGATGTTGGAGAGCTGGTTTCTGCCCCATAATAAATTGCAATGGTGGCTCTTTCCCACCTTGTATACCAATCAGTCAAAACTGGGAACAAATGGATAATACATTTATGTCGAAGAACAGATTTGGAGGCCGAAGACAGAGAACAGCATTGCTTGCAAGAAAGCAAGCTGACGCCCTAACCGGTTTGGCTCAGTGGATAGACCGTCGGCCTGCGGACTCAAGGGTCCCAGATTCGATTCCGATCAGGGGCATGTGCCTTGGTTGCGGGCACATCCCCAGTGGGGAGTGTGCAGGAGGCAGCTGATCGATGTTTCTAACTCTCTATCCCTCTCCCTTCCTCTCTGTAAAAACATCAGTAAAATATATTTTTTTAAAAAAAATCAAGCTGACGTGCTTTAAGCTCAGAGCCATGAGCCTCTCCTTGCAAAGGAAAGTCCGAGTTGTGACCAATGGGAC